ATAAATGTAAAATAAGAGCTTGCTGACAAAGATCCTTTACTTTTCATTCTTACATAAGCTTTCAAACTTTCATATATGCCAGTTCATATGCAATCACAGTATCACAGTATGCTAGAGATTGGAAGGGACCTCGAAAGATCATCTAGTCTAATCCCCCTGCCGGAGCAGGAACACCTAGATAATGTTACACAGGAATGTGTCCAGGCGGGTTTTGAATGTCTCCAGGGAAGGAGACTCCACAACCTCCCTGGGCAGCCTGTTCCAGTGTTCCGTCACCCTCACTGAGAAGAAGTTTCTTCTCAAGTTTAAGTGGAACCTCTTGTGTTCCAGTTTGTACCTATTACCCCTTGTCCTATCATTGTTTGCCACTGAGTAGAGCCTGGCTCCATCCTCGTGACACTCCCCCTTTATATATTTATAGACACTTATAAGGTCACCCCTCAGTCTCCTCTTCTCCAAACTATAGAGACCCAGCTCCCTCAGTCTTTCCTCATAAGGGAGATGCTCCACTCCCTTAATCATCTTCGTTGCCCTGCGCTGGACTCTCTCCAGCAGCTCCCTGTCCTTCTTGAACCGAGGGGCCCAGAACTGGACACAATACTCCAGATGGGGTCTCACCAGGGCAGAGTAGAGGGGAAGGAGGACCTCTCTCGACCTACTAACCACCCCCCTTCTAATACCCCCCAGGATGCCATTGGCCTTCTTAGCCACAAGGGCACAGTGTTGGCTCATGGTCATCCTGTCGTCCACTAGGACCCCCAGGTCCCTCTCCCCTACACTGCTCTCTAACAGGTCGTTTCCCAACCTATACTGGAACCTGGGGTTGTTCCTGCCCAGATGCAGGACTCTACACTTTCCCTTGTCCCACTTATTGCTGGGCATTATCAGAATGCTGCTGATTGATGGCCTTATGTAAACCCAGACACAGAACAGCATTTTTGGCAGGATTTGCACATATGAAAAGCAGCAATGTCTAGAGCATGTTTATATTTTGAGAAAAATATTTCTCTTGTTTACTTACTGGACTAGCAGCAAAAACTCTTTCTTTAGACAGCAAGTTTTATTTATTGGCTTTTTTCCTTTACAGAATGCATCTTGCCTTTTACATTTTCTTTAGAGGTTATTACTTTCTATTACCCTCTCTTCTGTAACTATAATTTATCACTAGAAGACACAGGGTTTTGTATTTACAGCTGCAGTATTTTTACACGGATTAAATAAACCTTCATTACAAATACACAGGTACAGCACATTCTTCCTGAGCTACCTTAGAAATTCATTATGCATAAGAGAAAAAAAAATCGTAATTTTGGGTAAACAGAAAACTCTCTGTGAAGGCCAAAGGCACAAAATATTTGTTAGTAAGTAAAGAGCATTCTTTCATGTTGGATGAAAAGGAAACACTTCATTAAATGGTCATTTTTACCCTTAGTAAGGCTGGCCCATCTGGTCTAAGGACAACAGAAGGTTGAGCATCAGTAAAAGCAATTGATATTCTTGAACTACACATCCAAAGCTCATAGAAATTAAATGGTAGCTTCAGACATACACCTAAGGGTTTGGGTTTTTTTCTTGCTGAAGTGACTTTTGGGACACAGATAGGTCTCAACATCTCCTCTACGAAGAAACTGTAATTTTGCTTTCTTCACACAGAAAGTCCAACATAAAGACAGTAAAGTTCTAGAATGATCACTCTCTTAATATGTGTATGTGAAGTCACCATATGCCTTACAAATACGGTCTAATACATTGATGATCTGCAGACCTGATGAGGAAAATTTTTCTCTCCATTAGCATTTTTCAAATAAAAATATCAGGAGCCACTTTCAGTTGTCAAAACCAATGATAAAAGCTAATGAAAATGGAACGTATCTTCTAAATCAGCAACTTTTTCCCCACAAAGATTGCTGTTGATCTGGCACATCACATGCTGTTAAAATGGTGCAAAGGGGAAAACCTGGGATCAGTAGCAATGCAGATAGTTCCCTGAGAAGTCTGTCGGTACTTCCTTAGAACTAACAAGACACTTTGCCATTGCTGCATTGCTGTTTGACCTGACTACACTCTCAGGAAAATCTGCTCTCACTGTATACTCTTACCCCAAGCAAGTATTTAGCAGAATTTTGAGGCTGCACATTTACATGGAAAAAAAAAAAAAAACAACAAACTAATTTAAACCAGTAAGGAATCTATAAGAGATGGTTGCAATGGCCGGGAATATACATTCTAAAGCATGCAAGCTCATCCCTATCAAATGCAACCATCCCCATGCAGCTAAGTGCTGCCTTTGCATTCCATGATGCTCTCAGGCTGACTCAGGTTTTAGGGGCTTGTACTAACAGATGACCTTAACAAATTTCTAAAAGACAGCACTGTCAGTCAACCAATTATGACCCACTTGCAGCTTAGTGTGAATGTGAGTGCTGAGCTCTGTCCACTGGGCTGCAAAGTGTAGCTGCTTTTACAAGAGCATCTGTCCTGCAGAGAGGGTGGCTCTCGCTGTCCCAACTGCGGGGCACACCAGATGTCAGCACACCTATTAAGCCAGGAGGTGGGAACTTCAGATCTAAGACACCTTGTGATGATCTGTGACACTCACCATCTGCTTTACTGTCTCAGCATTATGCATTCACATTTCCTCATGGAGACACTTGCACAACATGCTCCAGACCTGGTAGCACCCACATTTCTCCAAATATTAGGAACGTTTTTTTTTTTTTCCTTTGGAAAATGCTGCTTGCCCAGCATATTGAAGAACACCACCTCACCACCAAAAACATAAAATAAAATAAAATAGCAATAGCTTACACCTTTTTCCACAGCACTTTTTTGAAAGGAAATGTACTACAGAAGAGCCAGCTCATCCTATAACCAAGATTCCCACGGATCACCTTGCAGTTACATGTTTATATGCCCTTGTCCTCAGGCACCTAACTGGAAAACACCTGGCTTGGATGGCCTAATTCTCACAGTGCCAAAACAATAACGATAAATGCTTACAACTCCATTGAGCAGAAAGAAGAATGGTTTGCATGACTTTCTCCAGGCTCAGAGCCTGACTCAGTCACAGGGCCAGGCCCATGGGCAGCTTGCCAGCCTGTGCCTTGTCAGCATTGTTGTCTCATACCAAACTGCAGAATGGTGAAACGCAGCTGTCCATGCTGTTGCAATTCGCCTAATCTTTTCAGATTTATTAGGTACAATAGATCAGTAACATAAGCTTTATGGAGAGCATTCATTTGTTAAGCAATCAGTTCCCATCCCTAATGCTTCACCAAAAGTGCAATCAGCTTTCTGGTTTGAGCCTGCAACAGACTGCTTAAGTTTCATATCCCATATTTTTAGTGCCTTTCAGGGCTAAAAGCTATGAAAAAGCAAAGCATTCAGAATCATACCCTCTCTTTCCCCATGGGACAAAGAAAAACAACATCAGCAGACAGAAAGAAAAGTTTTTTGTAAATGTCCGTGTAAGTCATCAGAATGATTTACAAGGCTTTGACCCAGCACACCCACATAGCTGTCCAACCCTGACAAAGCAAAGATTTTTAGTTTTGCATACATGAAAAGGGATTAGCTTCATATTTCTATTTTGATATCAACTTAATAGCACTTGAACCAATACCCTGGATCTATATGCTGACAACAATCTATTTACAGAAAGAATTTATATTGGTGAAGTATTATTTGTTACCTGCTTTTCTTCCAATATTATTTGCAGTGCTTCTCACAAGTGTCAGTTAATTGCCATGAGTATACATATACTTTAATTGCACATTTACTGATCAGCTTTAGTTCCAACATAGAGAAAAATCAGATTCCTTGATTGCTCAGCTGTTATTCCACTTTATCCCTTGATGCTGGTATGTAAAAATGAAGGTGCATTTCCTTCTGCGCATACAGGCTACAACACTAATGTCACTTTAGTCTAACACACTATCAGCTTTTAAATATGGCATTCATGGCATGATAACGTTAGCATTTGCATCAAGATGGGATTTACTGTGAAATCAAATAACATCTGAACAGCCAAAACTAGTCTAGACTAAATGTGAGAACTTCAATCATCTGACTTAAGACTTCTGTGGACAGTGACACTTTATCACATTAGAATTAGTTTTCAATTACAAAGGAAAGTTGTGAATGCCGTGCAACATGAGAAAGGACTCAGTACTTTGTGGTGGCAGAGCTCATGCAGATTGGCTATCCCAAATGTCTATCAGCAGTGTAGTGAAAATGCATGTGAAGAATCAGTACTTTTCTGCACCCGTATACCCTCCTTTAACAGATATCTTCTCAAGAAAGCTGCAGAACCCTGAGAACATTTACTGTGACTTTTGAGAACCAGCAGAAACCAGCCTGACCTTCAGAGCTCGAAGCTCTGGCCAAATCTTGCTGCTCCATAATGCTCTGGCAGCACCCAACTGGGCCTGTCTTTTTGGTATGAATACACTACCCCTTGCTCAGAGAACAGTGGTTCTACTTCACCCCTCAAAGATTCCATTGTAAAAGATAAAAAATGTGTTGCTTGAGTACTACTGTATTGCAGCACCCCGAGATTGCCATCTGCCTCCTTGGGTTGCCTTCTTTATAAAGATGCACCATTTTAATAAAAAAGAAATCAGAAAGAAAATATTCACTGCACCCTGCATTATTTGAGTCTGCATACCCTCTGCAGGAAGTTTCACAACCACTATTTCACACCATGTTCTTGGTATTCTCTGATGACCGAGAAGGAACAGTATAATGAAGAAAGTCTTGCCTAAGCACTTCAAGTAAGAAGCTGGCAGACATCTTTTTTAAGAGACTGACAAATAATTTAATCGCTCTACAGAAGATGATGAGAAGCTCTACAGTTACGTGTATTTTGATCTTTACTGATACCTGACAGCTGCAGGAAATTACAGCTGTGTTGTACCTGCTGTAATCTTATCCCTTTTCTATGCTGTTATTAACTTGCTTTGCTTTTTGAACTTGCAGCATCTCCTACTCTAGCCACCAAAATGGAAGAAAATGCCAACACCAGCTTCGAAGAAGATTTTGAAGGACAGGCAACACACACAGGCAAGGAAACTATCTGCATTTTGGCGCTTTTTTTTTTTTTCCTAAAAATAAGCTAAACTGTCCCTGTTCACTGGGAAAGCCCAGAATTCAAGTAGATGCTATTGGTTTGCCAATTAAAAAACTATTTATTTTTCAAAAATCTCAACTGTCCTGTATTCTTAGTTTTACTGTAAGTCCTTACGAATGTTAGGGTATACATTGTCTATAGAGAAATGCAAATATACTTCTACACAGCAGTAGCTTTGACCAATATGTCAGTTTCGACAGGTTTCAACATCCCCATCTCTGTTAACTACTCATGCAGTTCACCAAAACCCTTTACAGGATCCTGATAGGAACCAGACCACTAAAGTAATCCAGGTTAGAAAAAAACACTCTTTCTTTTGGAGGCTAACATAACACATTGGTCCCAAGACTTTGGTTTTCAACACTTCTGGAGAGCACTTTGGAAAGAAGAGGGGCAGACAGTTAAACTGTGGCACAGAATGACAAGCCAGTAAAGACAGAGACTTCTTAAGACAGTTTCTTGTTACAGCCGGTTTTTCATCTTACTTCCTATCTCTCAGGGCCCAAAGGCGTGATTAATGACTGGAGAAAGTTTAAATTAGAAAGTGAAGATCGAGACTCCTTATCCTTAAGCAAGAAAGAAATTCTTAGACAAATGTCTTCACCACACAGATCATTCAGTAAAGATGACAAAGACACCAGAGAGAGATTCTGCCGTAAGGTAAGACAAGGAAAGCAAAACAAATTAATTTTGATTCTATATAAGACATACTGGTTGAAAATCCTGAATTTGCCAGACTCAGTTCCTTTGCAATGTAGCAGAGCTCACATAATATACATAGACAACAAATGCACGTGCAACCATCTACATAGTCCTCTCTCAAGCAAAGTCTAACTTCAGTAAAATCAGCAGTAATTTCACAACAACGTATCATGCAACACAGAGTCTGACCTTTCTTTCTCCATTCCTTGCCTTCATTCTCTATCCCTGGTTAAGGCAATGGAAAATTTTTTAACATGTTCAAAAACCTACTGGTCAGACTAGAGCTCTGAGCCTGAATGTTACTCATTACTATTTACCAGTTCTGAAAGGGGGGAACACACACACACACACCCACACACACACACACACCCCAAAAAAAACATGGGAATTAAACTTTGACTCCACTATAGTCACTGGCAAAATTCCCACCAACTCTGGAAGTTTTTGCCAAATATGTAACAGTCTACAATACCACTGAGTTAACATGCAAATGTTGAGACAGCATCTTCACCTATCTCTTGAAGAGACCTTCCAGAGTCATTGTAGGAAGTGACTGCCTTTACCTAAGTTTTCAATGTGATGTGCTTTGGACAACAACTTAGTCTCTTCCTGTTTCAGCACCAACAGATTACTACTTGTTAATGTAAAATTCTCAAAACATTCACAGATGAGCATGCAGGAGTATGAATTAATTCATGATGAGCAAGAAGATGAAAGTTGCCTACAAAAATACCGCAAACGCTGCATGCAGGATATGCACCAGCGGCTGAGTTTTGGGCCAAAATACGGTTATCTGTGTGAGCTGCAGAATGGGGAACAGTTCCTAGAAGCCATCGAGAAAGAACGTAAAACCACTACAGTCATTGTCCACATTTACGAAGATGGCATCAAGGGCTGTGAGGCTCTCAACAACAGCTTGATCTGCCTGGCAGCCGAGTATGCTACCGTTAAGTTCTGCAAGATCAAGGCCTCCAACACAGGGGCCGGAGACCGCTTCTCAAATGAAGTGCTTCCCACTCTACTTGTCTATAAGGGTGGGGAACTTCTGAGCAATTTCATTAGCATTTCTGAACAATTCAATGAGGAGTTTTTTGCTGTGGATGTGGAGTCTTTCCTAAATGAGTATGGGCTGCTACCTGAAAGGGAGCTTCCAGCACTGGGAAATGGCAACACAGATGAGCAAGAAGTTGAGTAATTAGAGAACCATAGTCCTGTCTACCTCTCCTTTTCAGTATGTTGTATATCAGCCTCAGTAACACCCATCTCATTTAAAGAAGGCTCTCTTCACTATTTTTAAGATACACATATGCATAAAAAAATGCTTAACTGTTAGGATGTGAATTTTCCTTAAAATACATACAACTGGTAGTCCTGTATATAATTATTTCTACTCCAGACACAAGTAATAGGAAGAACAGGAGACAACAGTGGTGATCCCTAAGAAACTAAGGGGAAATAAAAATAAATAAAAAATATAGTGAGGGCCCATGCCTGTCTCCAGAAAGCACAACAGTTTCATTTCAACAGGAAAAGAACTGATCCATCCCTCTGTATATGCAAAAAAAAAAAAAAAAAAAAAATGCCTCTGTGCTCTGGAATTACTGCAAGTCCTGCCTTGTAACATTCACTTCTACCAACTTTGATAGGAACAAGATCTTATCCAGCAGTTTTAAGGACAAACATACAGCCCAAAGTCCTTGCACTCCTAAATGGCTTAGGTATCTAGGACATTATTTTCCTCTTCTGCATTTAATTTCAATATTCAGGAAGATACAGAAGTTAGCTCAGCAATTCTGTAAGTTTGTCATCCAAACAGCTAACACAGACTCATTATTAGTCAATTTCAGTTCATTGTTGCTCCATATTTTGAACAGTAATATTTAAGATGTGTGTAAGTTACAGAAAAAGTATATTGTGCTATGTAATAACTCTGAATAAAGCTTAACAGCTCTCAAAACCAGCCCTTGGAAGTGTGAAATATATTGGTAGTACATAACCTTAACATGGGAAATGTTAATAAGCACTCATTAGATGTTTATTAAACTCAAAGTTGGTTTTGCTAAAAGGAAGCTGCTGACAACTACAATTTAACAATCTGAGAGGAAGACACAAGGTAAAATAACTATAAACCTTCCTTTCTCTCTGTATATCAAAAAAAAAATCCACCTCCTTCAATTCCTGAAACGAGACGACAAAACATTAGAAACATTTCAATGACCTCTTTTGCACACTGGCAAAACTGAAGGCTGAATTTTACTCTGATGATAGAAGTATCTTACCCCGAGGACAGAAATATCTGTACCTTAACCAAACACAGTTCTGCTGATAACATTTGAGATTATCAAAATGTTAAACATAGTACTCACATGGCTCACCAGGTTTTATTTCATTCGATAGTTTCACATTTTGTTCACTTTGGAGTGGAAGTTTTCAGTTTTCCTTCAGCTCAGGATCCCACTATGGAAATGTTACCCTGTGAAATGCTGCACATGGATCTGTAAGAATTCAGAACTGAGCAGGCAGGGCCACGGAACCACTGCTGCAGTGACATACCCCACACACTCAAAGCAGGTTCTTACTTCTTCTTTAAATACATTTTTTTCTCTATTTTTCATTCACACAAAAATCTCAAAGGGGTAGCTGAAGGTTACACAACCTTCCAACAGATCTGCACAACAAAGTAATTCTACTCAAAATATTTGGCAGACATCACACTGCAACACATCACTGAAAAAGTCACAGGATGCCCTTTCAAACAAACTTATTTGAGCATAACTTATGCTGTTTTAAATAATAAAATGAATAAATAATAAAGAAAGAAAAGGAAAAAAAAACTATCAAAATGCTGCTGAGTTTCTACTTTTAATTCCTAAAAAAGCTTCTAAAGTGATCAAATGCGAAGGTCAGAAACACTCGAGCCGCTGAGCTGCTTTTGGTGCTCAGGTAGCGAATGCCAGCTGCGGACTGCAAGGGAGCAGGACAACGGTGTAAGCTCCGCAAGCAGCTGCCGCCTCAGGTGCTATAAATAGGGCGGCGGGAGCGGTACCTGCTCGGTCGCTCGATCCCTGGGGAAGTGCTGCCCCCCAGCGATCCATGTGCGGTGCTGCAGCCCAGCAACGCGACACGCCGCTGCTTCCGGTAACCGAGCGCCGCCGCCGCCTCCCCACGTGCTCGCTGAGGCGGGAGCTCGGGGCGCCGGTACTCGCGGTGCTGCCGCCTCGTGGCCGAAGGGTGGCGCTGCAGCGGCGGAAAAGTTGGTGTCAGCGGGGAGGGCGTGCGGATGCAGGTCTTGCCCGCTGGGTCCGGGGAGCCGGGACGGGAAGCCTCAAACCGCCCGGTCTGCTGGGGCAGGGGGGTGGGGGGAGCCCGGTCGGGGCAGCCGCAGGTCATTCCGCAGGAGCTGACGGAAAGGAAGAGGGGAAGGAGGCGGACAGACCCCCAGACGCAGATACCGTGCACCTCCCCGGCTCGCCAGAGGTGCCCCTGAGCCCCCGCCGGCCCCACTCTCCCCGTGCAGCAGACCCATCCCCTTCCCTGAAAGCCTGTCCCGTAGCCCCAAGTCAGCTCTAAGCCCAGTGTTGCAGGCAGCAAGCTGGTCCTCGAATACACTTGATTCTCCCTTATCGTAAGTGCCATTTGCAGGGAGAAAGTGGCATCTTCAGAAGCCTGTGCGGAAGGAAGGTCTCCAGCCAGGGGTGACCTACATAAATAACGGTTGCTGCTGTTTCTTTCCCTCTCCCAGAGGCCGTGTTGCGGATGTGGTTGTTGCTCCCCTGGGGATGCCGTTGGCTGTACCCGCCTTGGAGCAGTAGGTCTGCAGTGGAGGCCTCTCCCCTTCGGCTGTGATGCTGCCTGGGACAACTCCCTGTCGTGTAGTATTTGATTCTGCTTGGTATCTGGACCCTGTAATCTACTACTGTTGTCAGAGTATTAAATTGTTTTTTATTAGAATAAATTTCCTTTGGGGCTTGTAGTCTGGGACTAAGTGGATCCAGCTGCAGCTAAATTCCCCTCTGAGAAGTTTAGAAAGCAAAGGGGTCTTCTCTGAACCTCATGATTCAACAGGAGGGTCACCCTGGCAGTTCTATTTAACCCTGCCCTCCGTGTAGTAAATAATTAAGTGAGCTTTGCCATCTGTCGATCGTACTAAAACACTGTCACAATTACCATTGCATTTAATTTAGTGAGATACATTGTTACTTCTCTCTTGTGAGCCTAGTGCTTGATTCTTCCATGACACCCATCAGAGTGGATCTTCAGAGACAGTGTGCTTAGGAGCAGAAGTCATCAGCAACAAGACTTTTCACTCTTTTAAGGCGTTTGGTTTTAGATGTGATGGTGTAAGCATCTCATGATGTTCAATACCCCCCAGCCCAGGTTTGCCTGCAGGTTTGCCTGCTGGTCATTAGTGTACTTGCATAAGGGACTAGCCCCGCATCCGGAGGCTCCAGATAAATATAGATAATGTATAAAAAACACATATATTCCCTAAATATATGTATGTGTAAATAGATACCTAAGAATGCCTTTTAAAACTCGACACCTACCACCCCCCACCCCAGTATCTCCCTATTGAAGATATAAAAGCGCTTTCAGAAGCTGTCCCATTCCTTTCTCTTCCCCCTGCAATCTGGGGCCAGTTCCCCAAACAAGGACTTCACATATTGCAGCATATAAATACCTCAAAGCCTCACATTCTGGGTCTGGAATAGGGGAGCGGAAACAAACAAACAAACAAACCAAAAGACAAAAAAAAAAAAAGGCCAAAAAAAAAAATTACAATTTGGCAGGGGGGGAAGCCCCTATTTGGGGCTCCTGGGAAAGCCAAATCTATCTGGATTTGTGCAGCTGGAAAGCAGAAAAGAAAACCCATTCATGCCATCCACATAGCTTAGATTTTCTTTCTTTTTTTCCTCTACAGATTTATCACTTCAGTATCCACCTGCATCTGTCAGATGCCATATCCTGTCAGAGCTGTCTCCAAATATCAGAATGAATTAAAAGAATCCTCAATGAAAATTGTGCAACAGTGTACCAGTGAGGTTTTAATCACAAAACAAATACTTGGTAATGGTGCATGAAATGCCAAGGGGCACTTCATGATACTTGATGGTTTGTGTTTGAGTGCTGATGAGGTCAAAGAAATGTACTGCAGCTCCACTAAGGACAGTTTCTGCAGCAACACTGAGCAACCTGGACTCCGTATCACCTGAGTTTAGGGGAGGCTAGGGACTGCTTTAGACTTTGTTCCAGCTGATTACAAACAGATGCTGTGATGTAAGAACCTGCTTTACAGACTGGTGAACTGAAGCATGACAAGTTAAACCAAGGCCATAGTAAACCACAGCCAGAAATAAACACAGACTAGAAAGCATGTTTAGGTTGCATAAACAAATTTTAGAAACCTGGACTCTCAATCTGCCTGTATTTACTGAATCACACTTCTTTTTACTCCATCAGGCTTCTTCAATGACAGTATTTGCAGCGGTGATTTGGAGTGGTGTAAATTCACTCCCCCAGAATTAAGGGCAAGAAGTGATTTCCTCAGAGGTTCAGTGCCTCATGGTGAGCTACATGACCTCAGATCTCTTTTCACACGCTTTGTGTGGCCTTTTGGGGTATACTGTGAGAAGAGCTTCTGCTATTCTCTTTCTGTTTGATCTTACTTGGTTACTAGAGAGACTCATTATTAACTGTTTGAGGGTGGCATTTCTAACTGTTCTCATTTTTTTTTAAATTGTGTTATTTGAAAATACATCTTCAGGTGCTTATACATCATTCATGTTTTCTGCTTCAGAAAACTGGCTTGCTTTTAGATAAAGCTAAATCTACTTTAGCTAGAATGTAGATTCACCACAACAACTTGCCAGTGTTGTCAAATGTCTCAGATCTCCCTGTTCCATTGCAGCTCTCAGACTTGCTATGATGACTAAGCCCTGTCATTGTCTGACAGTCCATTTCTAGGAAATTATTGTAAAGTCCTAGAAAAAGAAATATTGTCATTCTGTGTTTGTTTTTTAATTGAAAACCAGATCAAAGCTAGTCAGTGTTGGAAGTAATGTAGTACTACTAATGTAATAAAGATACCATGTGTCGTGGTTTAAACCCAGTCAGACAGCTTGTTCACTCACTTCCCCCCCTTCTTGCCCTCCTCCTACTCCTGGAGGGACAGAGAGGAGAATCGAAAAGAATGCAACTCCCATGGGTTGAGATAAGAACAGTTTAGTAACTAAGTGTCCTGGGTT